AAGATTTAGATTTCACACTCGTTGACAAACAAGTGGTAGTTAACCCATGAAAATGTATATCTTCAAATAAGAACCTGTTTATTTGGAAGAACAGTGAAGATGAAGGCTAGAACTCTGGAGAATATCAGTATTTAAGGAGTGAGCAGAGGAAAAGGAGTACTCTCTGAAGACCAAGAGCAAGTGGTTAGAGAAATAGGGGAATAGGAGAATAAATTTTTTAAAATGAGTAGTCAGCATTGTCATTTATAGCAGAGGCATTTAGCAGAGTAAGGTCTGAGAAGTATTCATTGCATTTGCCATTGTGAAGCTCACTGGTGTCTTTAGCTAAAGCTAGCACAGCACAGCGGTATGCAATGTCAGTGTCCACTGGTTTAAGGAGTAGATGGGCCCAGTGAAACTGTCCTAGGTCTCAGCTGAATATGTTGGGCCTCCCAGCCTACAACAAGATGAACCCATTACCATCTCACTACTTGGAAATGTGTGTTTAGTCCTACTTTTTTGATTATTGCAAAATTTCAAAATAATTCAATAGAACTGGATGGGTGGTGGTGGTGGACAGCATTCACCCATGCAGAGGAGGAATGTTACTGAAGTGTCATTTATGATTACAAAAAGCAGAATTGTAAGAGCAAAGGAAAGTTTCTTTCAGGTCTGGCATAAAGTTTCCATCTCAGAAACATTAAATATGGAAACCCTGCAAAACCTATCCTGTGTTTTACTCTTTTTCCTCTATTTCATTGTTAATGAATATGTCCTAGATTGTCAACCGTGGGTGGAAAAGCATCTCGGCCCCACAAGCCCATTACTTGCATGAGGGTGGTATTGTCTTGTTTATGTGTCATGGAACCTGTGACCTCTCATGTGATTATCATGTCAGCTGGTTAACATGTCACAAAGTGCAACTCCTGGCTTCCACCTCAGAGGGGAAACTGCTTAGGGTGGGGGATATTCTGCTAGCCAGAGAAGACAGAGTTTTGCCAGCTTCCAATGCCAGGGAAACTCTGACAGTAATCAATACCAAACCTAACTATGAATAGGACCAAAGAATGCATGGCTGAAAACCAAGCCTTTTTCCTATCTTGGTCTGATCTCTTGGCTAGTTCCCTGCTAGTTCCTGCTTTGCCCCCACATACTTGTTGGGGAGGGATCCAAAACCAGGAGTTCCTTTAAAGATGGTGGGGCAGACAGAGGAATTCGAAGGCCACTCTTAGGTGCTGAAAGGATCAAGGGGAAGAGAATTCTGGTTAGTTACATCATCCAGAGATTCAAAATTTTAATAAATATTGATTGATGGATGGAAGTCAAAGCCAAAGCCAAAGCCAAAGAAAGGCCTACATATGCTTAGAAATTTTGAGTTAAAAATGCCAGCCTTCCAACTCTCCTCAAAACGAGGCCACAAAGGGAAAGCAAAGTGATGATTAAGGAACAAAACGGGCTGTACCAGAGCATTCTCCTCTGGGGCCTTCTGAACTCCCAGGCCAGGCCTGCAGCCTGCTTGGGAGATTAGCCGCAGCTTCTCCCCTGAATCTCCTCTCCACATCTTTTTGCCAGATGGTCGTTCTAGCATTCTGAAGGTGCTTGGCCCTCCTGGTTCCTGCAACCTGAGCCGAGACAACTTCGGTCCACCAATTTTCCCGGCGCTCCACCCCTCCAGCAAGCCGAGCTTGGCGCCTAGAGAGCCCCTGCAGCGCGAGGAAGCGGCTCTGCAGCCCGCCGCTGGGCGTTTTGTGTGCAGAGTCCGCGCCGGCTCCGAGGGCTCCGGGAGCACATTACCGTACCCCGCCCGCTTTGAGAAGGAGCCTTCGCAGTTTACCGGGTGAACGCACTCATTGACCTGTCTTGAATTCTGATGATTTTTAATTACAGTCCAGAATCGGAACAGATTGGTACAAACGTTGAATGTAAACATAATTATAGTGTGAATCCAAACCATTTGTAATTGTTAATAGAAAGAAAAGAAGAGAAAAAAACCCAAGAACCAAATCAAGCAGGGTCTCTGCCTTGAGAATTTGCTTCCTTGGGGACCCTCCAAATGCTTCCCCCTAGCCCTCCCTGCCACCCCTAATACAGGCGACGTTCGCGCTCCAAGGACTCCAGGGCCTGGTACCTTGCAGCTGAGGGCTGTAGTATGCCCCGGGAAGGACCTGCCGCCCGGGAGTGGTGAAGAGACGCATCAGCCTTTCGCGCTGCGGCGGCCTCCGGAGATTTTGGAGGAAAGCGCGCTGCCCCACCGCGGAGAACCCTGCCGCCTGACTCGCCCTTCCCTGGGGCCTCGACTCTGTTTCCGACGCCGTCTCCTATCTTTTCCCTGGACACCCTGGGAGTCTGTCCTCGAGTTTCAGCTTTGGGCTCGGGGGACACTCTGCCCCTTTGAAGACTTTCAAAGGTCGCCCCCATTCCTAAAGAAGGAGAGACTGCCTGGCCTTCAGACTCTCCGAATGTAGGAGCGGCGCGGCCCGGGCTGTACCAGCCCGGCACAGCCGGGCGGTATTTGAGCTCTCAGTCCAAGAGGTGATTGAGAAAACTCTGCCCGTAGAAATTAATATATATGAATTATATATATATGTAACATATTGGTTGACAAATGTTTAACAAATGTGTAGTGTGTCTGGTATTTTTGTTGAAACCTTACGCATCCTAGTTGGTGTTGGTATGATTGGTTCATATTACTTATTCATACGACTGACAAGTGGGTGATTTTAGAGGAGCGCCGGATCCTTCCCGGAGAACCCCTCAAAATATAGAGACTTTGGACCATGCTTTCAGCTGCCTATCTCTGCCCATCTCTGACCCCTTTTCCCTGTCGCTACCTCTTGGTCACCAACTATGCTGACGGCACACCCAGGACAGGGCAACTTCCTCCGAAGGGCTATCTTCCCCCAGCTGACAGGAGGTCGCTGGGTCTTCAGGGGAAGCAGCATATCCCGGGGGTTCCAGAAGCCCCTGACCCCTTTCCCTCAGACCTTTGTCAAAAAGGGCAGTTCGGTCCGTGTCGGGGACGAAAAGAAACGTTATAATGCAGCTGTGTAAATGAGAGTGGAGAATAAGAGAGGGGGAGGAAGAGACGAGGGTTTTCTCCAGCTCTGGGGAGGCTCACTGCCTGCAGGCACAAACCCCGCAGTGCCTCGCGCGGCGTGGGGGGGAGGGGAGGGAACGGAAGAAATTGCCACTCAGCCCTTTCAGCTAAGACCATCCAGCAGGCGCCCCGGCGAAACATCTGGGCAATTTAAGTCGCGTCCACTCTAGCCGGTGGCACTGGCACGTGCTACGCTTGTCGCCGCAACTGTGTTGGAAATTCCCGCGGAAGGCACCCCCCCAAACGCCGCAATCTGTGCTGGCCCAGCCGGGTGCACGCCCCCCGCGTCCCGCTCGCCCGGCCGCGCCGCTTGCAGCGGCTGAGACGTGGACAGATGTTTACTGCTTAGAGTTGGAACCACCAGGGAGAAGAAGCAACAGGCGCCGCGCGCCGCGCAGAGCTGCACGGGCTCTGGGCTCCCGGTCGGGGGTGCTAGCGGGCCGG